ATACAACTGCCATAAACTTATCAAAGGCCCACTACTTTCTTTCATTGTCTTTTTTAAGTGTCTTTCGCGAAATTAAATATTCGCAGTGTACTCGATTAATAATGGGGAGTTTAAACCATATCTAATCCTAAAATAAAATATTTGTACTAATTAATTCTATATATTTTTAATTATTATCAATTTTTTTAATATATAAATTTAAAAATACTGTTACATTCTATCACTGCTGGACTTTCGTCAGACGGTCATCGGAGACTCGTCAGAATGTTCAACATCATCAAGAAGTTCGTTAGAGTATTGCAGGAAGTTCGCAGGAATATTGCCGGAGTGTTCACAACGTCACTGAAAATCGTCGCAATGTCCAGAATGTTCCTGGACGTTAAGAAAATCATTGAACATTCACCGAAATGTTTAGAATATTGCTGGAAAAAAAAAAAAAAAAGCAATGAAGAAATTGTAGTGAAAAAATATAACAAAACGTGCTAAATATTAATAACTTGAAAAAAAAAAAACAAAAAATCATAACAACAAACAACAACAACAGGAAAAATATATATTATTTTTAAATTTTTGTAGGGTTTAAGTAAATAATTTTCAATATTGATCAAACTGAAAAGCAAGTTTTGAAATTGTAAAATGTTACAGTTTCAAAGTATGATTTTATTAAGCATTTCTTTTTATTAATCAAACTGAAAAACATGTTATGAAACTATAAAATTTTACAGTTTTAAAGAATGCTATGAAATTGTAAAATTCAGAACCAAAAAAACTGAAATTGTAAAATTTTACAGTTTTTATCGCTTGTAACTAAAACTCAAAAATAATTTGTTCAGAATTTGAATTTTTTTCATTAAAACTGGAAAATAAAAGTGTGTAACAGAAAAAATGTAAAAAAATTGAGAGATCAAAAGAGAGAAATATATATATAAAGAATATTGTACTCCGACAACTATTTTTGATTTAGATTAGTTTATTCTCATGCAGATCTACTCAGATCTGAGTAGATTTACATAAGATTTGAATAGATCTACTGGTCTTCTTCGCTGTAAACTTGTCTCATTTGCCGTCAATGAGAGTGAAGTAAAGAATCGGTGATCGGCGGTTGCCAGTGAACCTCAATCAATGGTGGCCGTCGGTCGTTGGCGACTATATGTTAGAAAGAGAAAGAAAAAAAAGTAAGATGTGATTGCTAATCGCCGAAAAGGAAGAGAAAGAGATAGAAAAGAATGAATGCACAAAGAAGAATGAAAATACGCAATAGACTTTTGAGAGTATTCAAAAAATTGTGGGACTAAGGCCTCGTTTGGAAACATGTTATTTTAGTAACTTTTTGATTTTTTAGCTAAAATATGAGGTAAAAAAAATTTATATGGTTGGAATAATTTTTTGATTTTTTACAAAAAGGTATATAAAAAGTAGAGAGAAATTTTTTTTTTTGACATATTAATATAAGTTATAAATTTTTTAATTTTTTAAAATAAATTTTAAACTTCTAAATTAAAATTATTACTTTTTAAATGAACTTCATTCACTTCTAGAATTCCGGCCCGAGCTATGGGGTCTTCCACCATTTGAAGACTGTATATATCTTTTGAATTTATTTTCCTTCTTGATCTTGACCCCACATTATCTGATTTGATGCCATCTAATTTGATGATTTCAGGGGTGGATAATGCATTGCCAATTGAACCTCTTTATTTAAAGGTTTGGTATAGCAATGGACATCTGCATCAATCTGCAGGTTTAGCCAATAACTTTTTTTTAGTAATTTGTCAATTTTGCAATGTGCATTACACTTGAGATTGTAAGCATTTGGTTCATCGGGTTCTACCCCATGTGAACATTACATGCCATCTCACCAACATCAGATCGGATGTTACACGGTTTGCCACAATTGGAGCTTGATGCTTATAATAACAATGTGATATATGTGTTTTGATTGTATTTACTATCTATTTGTTCAGTCTCACAAGTATGTTCATTACATTGCATTAGCATTTGGTAGTAGTTCTTGATGCATGAAAATACTTGCCAACAAGTTATTGAAAAATAATTTTGAAAATCCAGATAGTGGAGAATCTGCTCTTCCTGATCAAGTTTTTGGGATCTACATTGGTTGGGCTAAATTTGACACGGATGAGATCTTCAAGGTTGTGACCAGCATTGGATGGGACCATTGCTGTACACGTAAGAGAAAAATTGTGAGTAATTTGCCCTGAACTCCCTTTCAAAGAGATCTGTTTTGAACCACTTTTTAAAGATCACTTGCATATGTCATTTCCTTTCTTCATAGCATTTCAGTGAGTCTATTTCTTTTTCCTTATAATTTGTTTACATTTCAGAATCTGAAATACTTTCCTCAACTGTTTATTTCTCATCTAAATTTGGACTTCATTCTGACTGGCAGACTTACATGCTTAAAAGCCATGGAAATCTAAATTCCATAAATGTGCTCCCTGGATTCCACTAAAGTTCATGTTAACGAATGTTCCTTCATGGGGTAGCTTATTGAGAGCTATCAAGTCATGTGTATTTCAATCCTAAGTTTTGTGAGAGAAAAGACGGGAGGATAAAAATCTCTTTTTGTCTCGTGTTTGGTTGGCTTATGGGGAGAGAAGAACATTTAATATTAATAGGGTATGGAGGGAAAATTGAACCAAACAGGGGAAACTTACAAATTTATTTTCTCCCCTTTCCTTCTTTCTCTCATCTTTTTCCTTCTCTTTCTCTCCTACCATATATGACATAATTGATTTCTGAAAGGAAGAAAAAAAAAAGTGTCTGCATTTACGATAACATTGGGAAAATACATAAACTTGATTATTTATGTTTATTATTATCTCTAAGCTTACTAGTATCTCTTTTGTTTATTATTTTGTCGATTTGAAAATACTGAGTGGCTAATCTCATGTTCCTTTGCAGCAAATACATCTACTTGATGTAAGCAATGAGCAAATATGTGATGGGGAGGCACAAATCATGCTCGTTGGCTACATTCGAGAATTGAGTAATGAGGTAAATTTCTATAGAAAAATAGAAAAAGAAAATCATAAACTTACGTATGTGTTTACAGACCTGCAATGGAAGTTTTAGTACCATGATGGTACCACCCCCTCAACCTGAATATCAAAACCATAACAATAAGCCTTTAATTCCTTAAATTCTTCAAACTGAAGTGCAGACATATATGTGCTTCCATGTTAGTGGATCATTTATAAGCATGTTTAGTAAGTATGATGTAATTGAAAGAGGAAAAAAAAGGTGGTTGGAAGGCGTTATATTTCACAGTACCTTGTAAAAAGTTTTAGTTTGTTTCAACCAGGACCATTCTTGTAACTGTACGAGAGTGTACTGATTTTGCTCAATATCAGCCAATTGAATTTTTCATGTAGTTGAGAATGAAGTGATTTTGTTGCTTGCTTATAATAAAGCCTCTTCTAAACAGAAGTATGTGTGTACATAGGAAAACAGAGTCAGTGACATTGAAATACCTGAAGAAGACAAGTCTATAGCTCGTGCATCATTGGACTTGCCTGTATTTGGCCATCATACATGTTTCTCATTCTTTTCAGAAGCTTCCTTCGAAGATGACTCTGCTGACTCTGATGATAATGAATAAGTATGCATGAATTTCAGCATTGTTTATACTTCGATATTTCCATGTCAATTGTTCGATATTTCCCTTGTCCCTTTCATGGCAAAAATAAAATGTTGCCCTTTTTGGTTGTTGTTAGTTCTCTTTTGCAATAAAAGACTGTTTTGGTTATTACATGCCTCAGTGAAGATCATTGTTTCTCAATTTCAATGTCAACAAAGACATTATTTCTATTACATAGCTTGGTGAGGTACATAGATTGAGAAAATTTTAAGTCCCCGAACTTTTTTGGAATGAAGAGGAACTTATTTTCATCCTCTCTCTCTCTCTCTCTCTCTCTCTCACACACACACACACACACACACACACACAATAACAGGTGTTAATGCTAGGGGTGATCATGGTCCGGATTGGACCGGATTGGGGTAAAACCAGGACCAATCCGTTATCTACGGTTCTTGAAAAATTGAAACCAATTCAATCCGTTTAAATCATGGAACCAATCCGAACCAATCCATTTAAACACAGATTGGATCGGTTTAGGACCACAGATTCACATAATTAAATAATAAAATATATATATGACACTTTAATTTCATAAAAATATAAACATAGTACTATATGAGTTCCACAATAGTAACATGTCTTTCTATAATAGCGATATACTGTTTTAGAACGTAAACAACCATAAGAAAACTGATTCTACCATAAGTATTTAGATCATTACAAATCAAAACTAAAAACTAACCAACAAAAGTAAGAAAAGAAAATATTATGTGGGTTTAGGTTTGTGCTTAGGTTATATATGGAATAAGCGAAGATATTATTCGGGAGGGTGTATAATAAAAATATAGATTATTTGTATACGGTTCGGATCGGTTTCAATCCGGAACCATGGGGTTCAATTCGGAACCAATTCGTAAATTATGGATTTTTAATTCTTCAATCCGGAACCGAATCACGGATTCAAAAAACCAATTCAAACTTATCGGATTGGACTGGATTGGATCAGATTACGGATTTTAAGGATTCCTTGCTCAGCCCTAGTTAATGCTTTTGGCTCTAATATTTTTTACTGAAACAAACGAAGCCTAGGCTTTTACTTAATTTTGGTTTTTCCTTTCCTTTTTCCCCTTCATAAATTCAAAATCCATGAACAAATGATTAAATTAGCACTACCAATTACATGATTGCAGAAATATTTTTTTTCATTTGCAATTTTGATAAATCCAAAGGTATAATGAACAAATGACTAAATTAACACTAACAATTACATGATTGTAGTAATAATTTTTTCATTTGCAATTTTGATGAGTTTTCCGACAAGAATACTTTTACTCGTACAAGAAAATTTAATTTAGTTTGTCCAAATTTCATCTCATGTTTCGGAATTTAAATTTCGTTCACTGTGGGAACGTGTGAATAAAACATAAAATTTGATTGATTTAAATCTGTTCATTGAACCCTAATTAAAATTGTGAGTTCTATTGTTTGAACTAATTAAAATTTGTGTTTTATTTACGCACTTTGATAGTATATGAACAAAATCGGACTATATATGTTTTCTACCGTATATCTGCTTAAAAAATATTTGCGACTTATTTAAAAAAATCCCCCCAATTTGACCTACAATAATATTGCATAATAGGTGACAACTTGTAATTTGTCACATATTCAACTATAGAGGGTCCAACTCCCTTGTCACATCATTATGTTGTCAAAAATTGTAAGTTTCTAGTGTTTTTCTTCCCTGAATCTCCCCTTTAAATAAACTATTATAGAGTTTTTGTATATAAGTTATGTTTTTATAGCATTAATTAGCACTGTTTGGATTATAAATTTAAGTATGGATTATAAATTTAAGTAGAAATTTGAAAATGGAAAGAAAGAGGTAAGGAAATTCATGTTCATGTTCCAAACAGTCTTAATCAACCTCTTTTTTTAAATCTCAATTCCACCTTTTAAATCTCAATCCCCCCAATTCCACCTTTTTTTTAAATCTCAATCCAAATTCATGTTCCAAACAGTCTTAATCAACCTCTTTTTTTTTTTTTTTTTTGTGTGGTAATAATCAATATTATGGTCATGTACCTGACAAAATAAAGCTGCCTGTTATGAAACGTTCCGTATCATTAATATTATTGTAGTTTACCCATAAACTATACAAATTGGTTCTATTAGATACAACTATCTGATATCATTACAAAGAGTAATCAAATGAAAACCTATTAATCAACGTAACCAATCTGCTGAGTCTATGTCATAACATTTTATTAAGCCACGCAGAGAGCAATAATATCTATTTTCTTTGAAAGACCACAACGATAGTATGCATTGTGACAAAATCATATAACTCTATATAAAGCCCAAGAGCAATGCAGAATTCATTGCACCTCCCAACTCACAGCCTATCAGTCTCCTTTCCTACCTCTTATTAGCAGAAGAACCATGGATTCCAAAAACCAGCAGCTGTACCAATCCATCTTCTTTGCTTTGCTATTCATTTTGGGAACTTTGGTTTCTCAAGCTGCATCTCGTTCCCTTCAAGAGGAATCAATGTATGAGAGGCACGAGCAATGGATGACTAGGTTTGGGCGTGTCTACAAGGACACTGCTGAGAAGGAGGAGCGTTTCAAGATATTCAAGGCCAACGTGGAAATGATAGAATCTTTTAATAAAGCCTCAAATAAGCCTTACAAGCTTGGGGTTAATCAATTTGCAGATCTTACAAACGAAGAGTTCAAATTGCGCAATAGGTTCAAGAGTCATGTCTGCACCGTAGCTAAGCAACTATTCAAATATGAGAATGTGACCGCAGTACCAGCTACCATGGACTGGAGGAAGAAAGGTGCTGTAACACCTGTTAAGGACCAAGGCCAATGTGGTAAGTAATAATTTTTTTGACCACAAAGCATAAAAGAAAAATGACAATGATGTTTGTTGTTTTCTAACTCTTTTATTTGTTATCAACATTCAACATATAGGATGTTGTTGGGCATTTTCGGCTGTGGCAGCCATGGAAGGAATTAACCAATTAACAACTGGTAAGTTAATCTCGCTATCTGAACAAGAGCTAGTTGATTGTGACGTATCTGGTGAAGATCAAGGTTGTGGGGGTGGTCTTATGGATGAGGCCTTTAAATTCATTGAACAAAACAATGGCCTGACAACTGAAACAAACTATCCATACAACGGAACTGATGACACTTGCAACAAAAACAAAGCAGCAAACCATGCAGCCAAGATAACTGGGTATGAAGATGTGCCTGCCAATAGTGAGAGTGCATTGTTGAAGGCTGTTGCAAATCAACCAATCTCTGTAGCAATTGATGCAGGTGGATCTGACTTCCAATTCTACTCGAGTGGAGTCTTTACAGGAACTTGTGGCACCCAGCTAGACCATGGCGTCACTGCCATTGGTTATGGGACTGCAACTGATGGGATGAAGTACTGGCTGGTTAAAAACTCATGGGGCACAGGATGGGGTGAACAAGGGTACATAAGGATGCAGAGAGACATTGATGCTCAGGAAGGCCTATGTGGCATTGCAATGATGGCTTCATACCCCACCGCATAAGGTTCAAAAATGAAAGTTCATACGTAGAATAATATGTATTACTGGTGTATTCTACATTTCTCAGCTCTTGGATGTTCATAGCTATTGCAAAACTTTGTGTATTTCCTATATGGAATCAATGTAAAATTAGTCTTATAAAAATTTCTTATTTTCTCGTGTTTGGTTGGCTTTTAGTGTTGGAATATAGAATATTGTGTATTTAGAAGATCCCGTAATTTCTATAAATTACGGTTATTTAGGGATTTGATTTTAGGATTTAATTGTATAATTATTTAATTCCTTTTTCTTGTGTATCTTCTATTTATTACATATAGACATGGTCTCACCCAAATTAGGGTAAGCCAATTTTGTACAACTTTTTTCTTGGTATCAGAACAAAAGAAACTCTAGCCGCTCCTTCTATCACCACCGCCAGCCTCTCATCATTTTCCTAGTAGCTGACTCACCTACCCAGCCCCCTCAAACCACCCTACACCACCCGAAACCCTTTCTCTCTCCCTCGGCAATCCTTTCCAGTCATTGTCGGGATTTTTACAGCACCCGACCAGGCTTTGTCCTGATTCTGTGCAGTTCGACACCCTTCTAGGGTGGTCCGGGCTGGTTTCTAACCCTTTTAGGGTCATGTGTTGTTGATGTGGTAAGCAACCTGTGTGTGTTTCTTATTACTTGGGCTACCGGTTTGTTCGGTAACATTTCTTTTGTGTGACGCCGCTACTTCAGCTTCGTAATGTTTCAGAATGTCTGACTTTGTTGCACAAACCCAGAATATGGTGCCTTGTTCAGATGTTTCCCTTGTCTCCCATGTTCTGGTTCATCGGATTACCAGTATGTTGCTTAATGGTCACAACTTTGCTACTTGGAGTCGGTCTATACATCCCTACCTTGGGGGTAGAGGCAAGTCTGGATGGCTTCTGGAAAACGAGACACAACCTCCCGCTGATGATTCTAAGCGGGTTCAATGGGATATTGACAATTGCACTTTACTTGGTTGGATGTTAAACTCTATGGAAGAACGCATCTACAACATGTTTATGTACTGTGATACCGTTCCTCGGTTGTGGAGTGCTCTTACCTAGATGTATGCACATGCCCACAATGATGCTACGATTTTTGAGCTCTATCAAGATATTTCTCATGCCTCTTAGGAAGCTTTGGGTTTTACTGTTGCTGAATTTTTTGGGTATCTTCAGTCTTGCTGGGAGGAGTTAGCACAGTATGAGCCATTGAGTGATTTTCCAGTTATTGCCGCTTCTATTGTGTCTGCTCGTCTTTCTCGTCAGCACACCTATCAATTTCTGATGGGTTTAAAACCTGAATTCGAGTCTTTTCGTATTCAGATTTTGAACACATCACCTATGCCATCCTTATATGAGGCTTTTGCTACTATTGATAATGAGGAGCGTTGTCGTCCATTGATTCAACCGGTTGCTTTGCTTCCTTCCTTTGTTCCTGCATCATCTTCAGTTTCAAATCAGATGTCCCTTGCTGCCAAGTTTAGTTCTTGTGCTTCTAGTAGCAAGGTTATTTGTCACCATTGTGGCGCAGCTGGTCATGTCCAAGCACGATGCTTCAAGCTTCACCCTGAGTTGAAGCAATGCTTTGCAAGGGCATGCCCTTCATGCCCTTCCCATACTGCTGTTATTGCCGACATATCTAGTACCCCTCAGCCGACTCATTTTGTTAATCTTTATTAGCTTCAATCTCAAATTGGTCGCCTTCAAGAGCAAGTTGGTTCATTCACTACCATGTCTCCAAGTGTCCCTTCCACTGCCACACTCGCTACAGGTACTCCTACAACCTTTCATGTTCGCACTGCACCTAAATGAGTATTGGATTCTTGGGCCAATGATCATATGACCGATGAGTTTTCTTATTTATCCTCTCTTGTCTCTACTGCCGCTCAGACTGTATGTCTTGCTGATGGGTTTATTTGACATGTCCAACATAAGGGTGTTGTGTTCTTATCGTCTGATATTACACTTACTTCTTTATTACATGTGCCCCGTTTTGCTTACAATTTTCTCTGTTAGTCACCTTGCTAAGAACCTTCATTGTGCTATTATTTTCTTACCTACTCATTGTTTATTATAGGACCTGACTTCGAAGAAGATTTTTGGTAAGGGGTTTGAGCGCGACGGGCAATACTACTTCGCGGACCCACCACCTTCTCATCCTACCACTTTTGGCCTGCAAGCAACTGTGTTACCTGAGTCGTCTTCCTGTGTGTTTTATTTTCAGACTTTAGCCTTGTGGCATGCTCGTTTAGGATATACAAACTTTAATTATTTATGTTTACTTTTTCCGTCACTCAATAAAGCTTGCAAGGATCATCAGTTTCATTGTGTTGTTTGTGAACTGCCTAAATATACTTGTACTTCTTATATTTCTCATATATATCGCGCTTCATGTATGTTTGACCTTATTCACTCTGATATCTGGGGTCTTTCTCCTATTTTGGCTTTTTCTGGGCATCGGTATTATGTGACTTTCATGGATGACCACTCTAGGTGTACATGGGTTTATTTGCTTAAAAAGAAGTCTGATATGCTTCCAGTTTTTATTCAATTTCTCTAAATGGTCAAAACCCAATTCCACACCGTTGTACACAATATTCGTTCTGATAATGGAGGGGAGTACATCATTGATGCATTTTGCTCCCAACTTAATCAGCAGGGAATTTTGTAGCAACTCACTTGTGCTTACACCCCTGAACAAAATGGGATTGCTGAACGTAAAAACCATCATATTATGTCTGTTGTCCGGTGCTTTCTTTGTGGGATGAATGTTCCTAAATCCTATTGGCATATGGCTGTGCTTACTGCTGTTTACCTCATTAATCGGACACCGAGTCAAATTCTTCATGGGTGGGCCCCTTTTCAATTACTTCGTCCAGATATCGTGTTATTTTCTCTTGTACCTTGTGTGTTTGGTTGTACTTGTTTTGTTCAGGATCATAGTCCTACTCGGACTAAGTTAGATAGCAAGTCTCTTAAATGCATCTTCTTGGGCTATTCAGCTCTCTTTAAAGGCTATAGGTGCTATGATCCGTTTTCTCGTCATTTTTATCATTCTATGGATGTCACATTTTGCGAAGATATGCCAGTTTTTGGCTCTAACCTTGTGTTGTAGGATTCCACCTCGAGTGCACCGCCTCCTGTTGTGTCACCGAGTGCTTACCTTGTTTCTATCATTGATTCATTTGCTCCCTTATCATAGCTTGTATTTGCACTTTCCAGTCCTCCGCCATTATAGACATACTTTTGTCACCCTCGTGCTTCGCCCCCTCCAACATCTTCTTCGCCCTCAGGCCTAGGTACTCCCTCTACTATTTGCTCCCTAACTCCTTCCCGTTATCTAGCCCGTGAACACCGTCCCTCTAATCATTTTGGTTGGTTTAGTAGTACTAATCACCATTTTTCCTAGTTTTTATGTTATGATGACCTTTTAGCTTCTCATCGGTCTTTTCTTGGAAAACTTGAGTCGTTCTCTATCCCGTGGTCTGTGTCTGAGGCTCTCTAGAATCCCCAATGGGTTATGGCTCTGCAAACTGAAATGGCTGCTTTGGAGCATAATCACACTTGGGATCTTGTCTCTTTACCTTTTGGTGCTATGACTGTTGGGTGCAAGTGGATTTTTACTGTCAAATACTTGGCTAATGGTAAAGTGGAACGCTATAAGGCTCGTCTTGTTGCTAAGGGCTTTACCTAGGTTCATGGCAAGGATTTTGGGGCTACATTTGCATCGGTGGCTAAATTGACCATTGTTCGTTTACTTATTTCCATGGTTGCCTCTTCTTTTTGGTCCCATCATCAACTTGATGTCAAGAATGCTTTTCTACATGGGGATTTACTTGAGACGATCTACATGGATCCTCCATCCGGGTTTCAGGCTGAGGGGGATTATGCTGGCAAGGCCTGTCATCTGCGTAAGTCCCTCTATGGCTTGAAGCAATCTCCTCAGGCATGGTTCCACCATTTCAACTTTGTTATCCTATCCATGGATTTTATTCAGTGTCACTCTAACTATATATGCTTCATTCGTCATCAGCCCAATGGTCGATGTATTATTTTGTTGGTCTATGTGGATGATATCATCCGTACAGGAGATGACACCATTGATATTGGTAAGGTAAAACAGGAGCTTAGTCTAGCATTTGACATTAAAGACTTGGGTCCTCTCAAATATTTCGTGGGGATTGAAGTAGCTTGTTTTCACAGTAGGATATCATTGTCCTAATGGAAGTATACTTTGGATCTTCCTCGGGACACCAGTATGATAGAGTGCACGCATGTATCTACTCCTATGGATCCGAATCTAAAACTTTTGGCTGAGTCCAATGAGTTGCTTTCTAATCTATCTCGCTACCAGAGATTGGTAGGACGTTTGATCTATTTGACTAATACACGACCAGATTTGACATTTGCTTTAAGTGTGGTTAGTCAGTTTATGCATTCACATCATATTGCTCACCTTGATGCTGTTCACCACATCTTGAGATATCTCAAGTCATGTCCAGGTTTGAGTTTATTCTTCAATGGTGGAATTCAGACAGGATTAACCTGTTTTACTAATGCAGACTATGTAGGTTCATTGACTGACAAACGATCAATTTCTGGGGTCTGCACTTTCCTTGGTACCCATCTTTTGTCTTGGAAAAGCAAAAAATAAGCGGTTGTTTCTCAATTATCTGCTAAAGCTGAGTACCGAGCCATGGCTCATGGGACATGTGAGTTACTATGGCTTCGGTCCATTCTTACTGAGTTAGGCTTTGAGAAGAATATTTCCTCCAAGCTATTTTGTGACAATAAGTCTACCATCTTATTTGCCTCCGACTCTGTGCTTCATGAGCGTACTAAGCATATTGAAGTTGATATTCATTTCATTGGGGAAAAGGTTAGAGCTGGCATTGTATGTCCCTCATTTGTTCCATCTTTTGATCAGACTACCGACATCTTCACCAAATCTGTAGGACCATCCCTACTTCGGTCTTCCATTGTCAAACTGGGTTTGGTTGACATCTTTGATCCAACTTAAGGGGGAATGTTGGAATATAGAATATTGTGTATTTAGGAGATCCCGTGATTTCTATAAATTACAGTTATTTAGGGATTTGATTTTAGGATTTGATTGTGTAATTATTTAATTCATTTTTCCTGTGCATCTTATATTTATT